AAAACTGCATCCTGCGCATGCGTGGCATTTTTTATTTTCTTCCTAGTTTCTGGGGAAGATTACTGCAGAGCTCAATATTTCACATACAATAAAGCCACCCGATAAAAAATAGGTACGCTTGGCGTACATGCATCTGCGAGAAAGCCGCCATATTTGTTTTACTGCCTATTCGCAGGCGTACAGCCCTAATTAGTCGATCTGGGTTTAACACACACACAACTCGATAGAATAGTATCTAGCGCTACGCGCTGATACAAAGAGGCGCCTTGCATTGCCACAAAATGATTTACCCTCTCCTAGACCCTTTCAAATTGCCACGCCTAAAATACGTACTGTATAATATAATATGTATAGTTAAGAAAAAGATATGAATAGTGAATTAATCATTCATCGTACGACATAAAATACATACGACCAAGTATAATTTGGACATGTGTGGTTTAGGGCGTACAGCTCGTAGAAAGAACCGAGAGATTGCCAACCTTTTTAAAGGGACGGTTGCTTTTTTAGGAAATTTTTCTACGACATAAGCAGTCAACCTATGTAGAATTGTCGACCACTTGTAGAGGACTTCTAGACAAAAAAAGCGCAGAGTGGTCAAATATATCAAGCGAGCGGTGAGGCAAACAAGGACAACGGGGTTCATACTAGCCTCCCAGCAACTGTTTCTTATAGCGTCAGTCGCGCAACGCTTCACTTTAAAACCTCAACGATCTCGCATTACAAATCCTTTAACACTGACTAGAAGTTATTTCTGGCTGTTACTGTTGCTTGATGAAGTTAGTTAATTGCTGCCGCAGCGAGGTCGCCTGAGCGACCGAGCAAGGCAGCAGTCCCTAATTTGTGTAGTAGGGGAAGCAAATTTACGAAATAGCGCACTGCATTGTGGTAAAAGATCTCCTACCACAATGCAATGCGGTCGGTATACTATAAAACGACTCCATGCTTTATACGGTCAGTGTTTCAAATTCAAAGTGTTTTTAGAAGGCAGACACTGAGTTAGCCGTGAGATTGTGCTCGCATGACGCATCACTGTTGTATAAACGGACACCAAAAGCGACGTGGTGAACCATACCGTTACTTGGCAATTGGAGTCTTGTGCTTTTGGTCTTTTACAAATACTTGCGCGTTTGGAATTTGAACTTTAATCTATTGTGATTTTAAGGTGTCGTATAACATTTGACTGTCACTTGTTTTATAGCTTTGTCATTTCGATTTTTTTAAAAGGTTTGAAACATATTTTCTTTTACTTTTATCATTGGGGTAAACCTGTGTGGCGTAACTAAAGCATGTATAAGTATTTAACTTTTAAGTTAGTTCTTTGATTGTTTTATTTAAGGGGCTAAAGCCTCAGGGTTTTAGTTTCACAAATACCTCGCGCATTTGGAATTTGACCTTTGATCTATTGTAATTTGAAGTATCGTATAACATTTGACTATAATTTGCGTAACCATGGTATGAATTTTTAACAAGCAAGCATTTTGCGCATGCTATTTCTATAAGAGTATAGGCAGCACTACTGCCTTTAGGTAACCTAGTTGTACATATATAACCGACAGTTTTCTCATTTCAGAATTTAGGTCTTTTGGATATTTTTAGGTGTTATTTTTTTAATAAAGAATGGCGGCTTTAATACGCAAACCAATTTTACCCCGCGGTTCTATGCAAGAGAATATGGGATCGCATTTCCCATGAATTGTTTTGGTATCTATATTAAATATTCAGAGTTTATTCAACCAACATGAAAGAGATCAAAAAGTATAATTCATTTTGCTCTTCCTGTCTAGCGGCGCCCTTATGACTGTGCGGGGTTTCCTCTGCAGAACAGCTCTACAGCTAGCTAAAATTTGGTTTTGTCGCAATATTCTAAATCTATTTTCATATAAACTTGCGTAGATCATTCATGTATCTTTGTTTAGGTGAATTTTAGGAATAATTCTTGGAATAATTCGAGCCGGGAACAGTTCTTATAGACGAGCAATTGATGAATTTCAGTGCGGATTACGAAGTGTTATTTTATGTATATAAAGCGCAAACTTGACCAAATTGACATTCTCGCTGCTTCGCACACAGCGGCATACCCGAAGGTTTGACTTTAGAACCTTAGAGATAAAGTTATCATCTGCATATGGATGCAATTTTTTATTTCAATTTTGGTCAAACAAACGCGAATTTTGCTCCCGAACTTTGTTATAATTTAGTGCACTTCCGCAACCTGCACAGAGGGGTGGTTTTCAAGGCTGACATCTTGTCAACTAAGCACTCAATGAATTTGACATTTTTATGTTTTTATAAGTAAAGATGAATCAAACAAATGGCGAATAAAACGCTTTGCCGGCGAGTTTAGTTTTGATACGGTGCAGTCCTAAATATTGCGAAATTTCGGCCTTGAAAGGGATGACCAAATGAACCGGCTCGGCACAAGAAAATTCGAGCTTCTAGGAAAGCGAAAATAAAATTTCCACAAAACTATTCCATTTTTATTAGTTCTGTACCAAACCCTTTTGATGTGCCTAGTTTCAAAGAAATTGTTTTTCTGACGCGAAATTCGATGGACCGCTGTTAGGGCGACTGCCACTTAACATGACGACCCGCACGGCCTGGAAAAAGCAACTTTTGCGGATTGAATCCGCAAAAGTCAGGAAATCAGAGCGCATTATCTCATTAAATATAATTGCAAAAACTGTCATCAATCCACTATTAGTTTCATTACTCGCAGTAGGTACTCGGTTGAAATTCTGTTATTAACAAGTTATTAATTTAAAAATGTTCGCTGCGTGAAGCTATAAGGCAGTGCGGAATAAGTATCAACGCATATAGAAAGGGAGTCAAATATCTGACCCTGTCAAAGCAATTTTCTCAGTACTGCTTTCGCTATTACTAAAATCCTAGTCATTCCACTGTAACAGCCATACAATAAGGCCAATGTCTGTACACAATAAAATCCGGTAGCTGCGTGCGGGGGAACTTTTTTCCAGGCACGCCGGAACATGGATAATTGGGGGGGCATATATTCATATATTCGAGTTCTGCATTATTTGTTTCTTTTGAAATCAATTGTTTTTACGGTCTGTGAACTTGAATATATGAATATATGCCCCCCCAATTATCAATCTTCCGGCGTCCCTGCTTTTTTCCTTGCCACTTTTTCCTTAACAAGTTCTATTGATCACGTATAGGACAAAAAATTTTTCGGGCCTTGTATAAAGTCGCTACCGCACAATGTCTTGTCATTGTAATCAGAAAACAGTTTATCTGGAAATGTTTTGCCGTACACATGCACTTTAACACTAGTAAAAGGTTAACAGGTTTATATATATATATATATATATATATATATATATATATATATATATATATATATATATATATATAAATATATATATATATATATTTAAACAGTATACTTTGTTATAACCAAGAGAGGTGCCAAAAAATACCCTTTTTTCATGTACTGGCATTACCTGTACATGAGACTGTAGTTTAGTGGACATCAGTAGGACCAGTACAGTAGCTGCTGTTTGAATTTGAATTTTTTTAGGCTCATTTGTATTGGTGGGAAAAGAAATTTGGGAGGTTGAGGTTTGGGGTTATGGTTAGGGCTAAGATCAGTGTAAGGAAAGGACAAGGGTCAGTTTCGCAAACATAACTATTGCATTATCAAAACATTATCCACAATAAATTGATTGCATTATAACAGTACCTATAAAATATCACATTAAATTAACTGGTCTTTGATAGAGAAAACAACAAATAAGATCACTTACACTGTATTGCATCAGTCAGATTGTAATAATTTTGCAAATTGGTTCAGAATAATGAGCATTAATTTATAAGGACAAGAGAATATGATGGCAAATATAATTAGTATTTAATAAATTATTGCACCCTGTGCGAAATTATATGTTACATGTACTTTATACATAAATGTTTGTCTTTGATCTGATATGCTGTGCAATAGTTGTGATATGACTCTTAGTTTCAACTGATAAAGCAAAGATGACTACATCTTCTTAATCTGTCAGCAAAAGATGACTCCATCTTTCTGACACAGGAGTGTCCACTAAAGGAATTCTCACAATTTCTATACTGTACAACAGCAATATATTTTATATGTCTTGAACAGTAGTTGATGGTAAAGTTATAAAATATATATTGGAGTTTTCTAGGTACTTTTCATTTAGATATAATTTGCTGTGTAATAATCACCAGAAAACTTTCAGCTTCAACTGATTAAGCAAAGATGACTACTTCTTAATCTGTCAGCAAAAGATGACTGCATCTTTCTGACACAAGAGTGTCCACTAAAGGAATTCTCACAATTTTTATACAGTACAACAGCAATATATTTTTTATGTCTTGAACAGTACTTGATGGTAAAATTATAATATATATATTGGAGTTTTCAAGCTACTCTAATTTAGATATAATTTGCTGTGTAGTAACCATCAGAAAACTTTCAGCTTCAACTGATTAAGCAAAGATGACTACATCTTCTTAATCTGTCAGCAAAAGATGACTGCATCTTTCTAACACAAGAGTGTCCACTAAAAGAATTCTCACAATTTTTATACTGTACAGCAGCAATATATTTTTTATGTCTTGAACAGTACTTGATGGTAAAATTATAATATATATATTGGAGTTTTCAAGCTACTCTAATTTAGATATAATTTGCTGTGTAGTAACCATCAGAAACTTTCAGCTTCAACTGATTAAGCAAAGATGACTACATCTTCTTAATCTGTCAGCAAAAGATGACTGCATCTTTCTAACACAAGAGTGTCCACTAAAAGAATTCTCACAATTTCTATACTGTACAACAGCAATGTATTTTTCATGCCTTGAATACTAAAAATATTTTATGGTATAATTTATTGTGAAATTAGAGTAAAAGTTTACCTCTCAATTAATGTATTTATATATATGCATTGTTAGTAAGGTAGAAAAATGCATTTAGTGATTATGCATAATTGTTTACATACTCTCTGAAATAAACAATGGAGACATTTGTAAATCCTACCGGTGATGGTACAGAAACATTGATTTCCTCAATGTGGCGCTTTGTGGTGCTATTTCATTCGATTTAATGAGAGCGCTAGAAGGGCGCGCGCATGTAATTTTGGCGGGACATTGAACGGTATGGATTTGCCTAGTTTATTTAGGCATTCTCGAGCGCGAGCATAGAAGTTATGTCTTTCCATTCGAACGGACTTGGCTCTAGGTCGTTTTCTTGATGTTGTTCGATGGCTGTTTGCCGTCGCGGTCTCTGAGATCAGCGAATTAACCTTTTCGCTTCGCTAATCAGAATGTCGCGCTTCCTCGTCTCTACATCTACAGATTTCGGATATCCAAAAAGCAAGTCATGTACGCATACCAATCTTGCTATGCTAAGCAATGCGAATATACTCGGTAGTACATTTCGCAAGTTGAATTGACTAGTCGCGCTCAAGCGGCTCTGACAACAACTTCGCGGTTTTAGTCAAATATTGGCGCGCGTTTGCCTTTATAACTCCTAAATGCGGCGTTGACAATCGTGTTTAGCTATTAAGAATTAATAAATTATTAGCCAGATCGACGCAGCTTATCAATATATAAACATAGAATGAAAACGGAGTATCAAATTACACTTGCACGAAATAAAGGAGCGAGTTAATTCAATCTCTACATGTCAACCCTCAAACACCTACCAAACAGATGCCATGGGAACGAACACTTTTTGCCTTAATTTTTTCACACATTGTGCGGGTCCTCATGATGAAATATTCAAAATATTTTATAAGCATTCAAACAAAGTAGCGTCGCCAGCATCGATAAGGGGGTCATATTTTATATTGCTAACTACTATATATTTTTTTATTATTATTGTGTTTCTTTATAATCGGGCTGTATCTATATTAGATATTGCCTCTATTACAAACTGCCATGTCGTCTTTTAATCTCAATTTTAATCATTGAATTGAGCGACACAGGTTTTGAAATTAATAATGAACTGAAAACTGAACTGCATGCATGAGCTCACAAAGCTCACTGCTTATAACGGCCTATATTTCTGGGCATGTTAAATTGTAAGCAGTGTATATTTATAGCTTCGTACTAGCTACATGAAAAGCGTATTCGATCGCAATTAAATCAGGAAACCTTGGTCACGGTGATACTTTGTGCTTTTAAATATGCATTCAAAGCTTTTGAAAATCAAACCTTAAAAATGCATGTATTTGATTAGTATCGTTTTCAACATTGGATAGGGATTAGGAGTGGGATTAACCAGTGCATGCGTAGCCAGCCCGACAATTTAGTCATGCTGTGCTAATATTTTGGTGTTCATTGACAATGAAAACAATTAATTTCTAAAGAAATGAATAATGATAATAACATAAAATTTGCATAGCATGACTAAATCGTCACGCTGGCTACGCCACTGGGATGAACATTTTGAAAACAAACATTCAGCAATTTATGTTGAGAGATAAGGAGTTTTATATGAGTAAACTTTGTGAAATAAAAAACAAAACATGCAATATACTGATATTTTTGAAATATTCTCAGATTACATAATACTGCCACAAAAAGAAACTATCAGGGGCCAGTTGTCCAAAAGGCGTTTAGATTAAAATCTGGATAAGCTAAAGCTTTAAAATACTTAATGATACTTAATGATATAACGAGCAATTTGATTAACTACCGCGCGTGCATTGTGAGGATATAATGCACGCTTCTGGCTTTTGAAGTTTTTGTTGCTAAGCAACATCTTAAATAACATGTACGGAGAATTTCATTATTGATCAAATAAATAAATTTTGTTGTTGCCCTATAATTTCTTCTTATATTATAAAATAATTAAAAACGCTCGTCGCGTGCCTTTATGGTGTAATAATGCACTCGGGGAAATGTTGGAAGAATACTCGAGAAGCTTGTAAAACACAAGGCTACGCCTCGTGTTTTACAAGCTTCTCTCGTATTCTCCCAACATTCCTCCATCGTGCATTATTACACCATAAAGGCACGCGACTCGTTTTTTAATTCTTAACTCATAGATCTTGTGAATGACTGAAACTGCACAAAAAATAATATGCATTTGATATATACTTCCTTTGAAAATTAAACTGATTATATTGAAATATTTCAGCTCATTTGCCCAATAAAAATATAATTTTGTCCTCCATTTTGAACGTATCCACCGTGTTACTTATCAACACATTTTATGGCATTTTTATAGCAGTAAACAGAATTTATATATTTATTTTTTCGGGTCTGATATGCACGTTTTTAACAAATCAAATAGAGGTTTTTTATAGTGGCTGTCTTCGTGATCAACTTGAAATTCCGACAAGGAACATGCATATAAAAGGGAGAACTTTGAATATGACCACAAAGATAACCGCCATATTACTTTCCCTCTTTGTATATCTACAGCACCGTAATTAGAGCGCTTAATTTGAGGGGCGTTCTTGTATTCATGTATATTTTCATATCAAAGGGACAATGGCGTTCAAAAGAAGTCGTTCGGGCATGAATAAGACGAAAAAGTGAATAACATGACCCCCTTTCAATTAAGTTATGTAGCTCTATACATATATATATATATATATATATATATATATATATATATATATATATATATATATATATAAATATATATATATATATATATATATATATATATATATATGTGTGTGTGTGTGTGTGTGTGCGTATGTTTTTTAAAAAAAAGTACCTCTTGGAGAACAGAGTAATATAAATATAATTATTTTAACGCTAGTTCCTGCCTTGATTGCTCTGCATTATAAAATAATAATGAAATAGCTACATGATGCTAATGATGTTCTCAACTTCAATATACCTTGATTATTATTCTAGATGTCGACGAATGTGAAAAAAGATCGCACAAATGTGACAAAAATGCAAAATGCACCAACACTCCAGGCTCATTCAACTGTCAGTGTCAACCTGGTTACACAGGAGAAGGACGGATATGCGAAGGTAGCTATAAAATTGTTTTTAGTTGTAAAATAAAAAACAAAACATGGCACTATACTGATATTTTTGATATATATATATATATATATATATATATATATATATATATATATATATATATATATGTGCGTGTACGTTTTTTAAAAAAATTCCCTCTTGGAGAACAGGATTATATGAATATGAATATTTTAACGCTAGTTCCTGCCTTGATTGCACTGCATTATATACAAATACTGAAAGAGCTACATTCCTCGACCGAGCAGTTTCCTGTAAATGTATGATGCTAATGATGTTCTTAACTTCAATATATACCTTGATTATTATTCTAGATGTCGACGAATGTGAAAAAGGAACGCACAAATGTGACAAAAATGCAAAATGCTTCAACACTCCAGGCTCATTCAACTGCCAGTGTCAACCTGGTCACACAGGAGAAGGACGGATATGCGAAGGTAGCTATAAAATTGTTTTTAGTTGTTAAATAAAAAACAAAACATGGCACTATACTGATATTTTTGAAATATTCTGAGATTACATAATACTGCCACAAAAAGAAACTACGCTATTTATCGTAGTATTTGCATAGGTTAGTTCAGGGGCCGGTTGTCCAAAAGGCGTTTAGATTAAAACTGGATAAGCTAAAGCTTAAAAATACTCTCATAGATCTTGTGAATAAGGCGAAAAAATGAATAATATACGCCCCCCTCCAATTAAGTTATGTAGCTATATATATGTGTGTGTACGTTTTTTAAAAAAAGTCCCTCTTGGAGAACAGAATTATATGAATATAAATATTCTAACGCTAGTTCCTGCCTTGATTGCACTGCATTATATACAAATACTGAAAGAGCTACATTCCTCGACCGAGCAGTTTCCTGTAAATGTATGATGCTAATGATGTTCTTAACTTCAATATATACCTTGATTATTATTCTAGATGTCGACGAATGTGAAAAAGGAACGCACAAATGTGACAAAAATGCAAAATGCTTCAACACTCCAGGTTCATTCAACTGCCAGTGTCAACCTGGTTACACAGGAGAAGGACGAAAATGCGAAGGTAGCTATAAAATTGTTTTCAGTTGTGAAATAAATAGAGATTATTACTTCATGGTTGGCAAGTACGTACGATTTTTATGCACGAGTTGTGAAGGATCGCAAAACGAACGAGTGAGCGTAGCGAACGAGCGAGTTTGCGATCCTTCACAACGATTTCATAATAAAAAGCGTACATATGAGCCCATATTTAATTATGGCATTTTTCACACGTGATAAACATTTTACGTCGAATCAAATTGCATGAAATTAATTTACACAGTGAAATACGATTTTATTACATCATTCTGCTGTGCATAAATCTCTATACGCATATAATGAAAAACAAAACATAGCAATATATACTGATATTTTTCAATGATGCTAAGTTTACATAGTATTGCAGTACTGTGATGACAGAAAATCAAAATCGTCCGGATAGAGTGCTCAATGCTTGCACAGAGCGGTATAACACAGGTTGAGAAACGCCGTTTACTTCAACGAATTTTATTTACAACAGAAATGTTTCGTGGTAAATAATATATGATAACAACATTTTATAACAACAGCACAACAACTGTATACGAGAGGCGCATAATTAGGTCACATCACATGTAGTTGGTTACTAGGTATTACTTAACAAAAACTTCTTTCGATGCCTGCATGTATTGGAACAAGTTCATTACGCTTATTCAAAAAGCTTAATTCAGGATGACATATATTATAATAGATTTATTGGATAGGCATAAATTACAGCGTTCAGTTTTATTACAAAACGGTTGTGATTTTTTAATTATTATCCAACCAATAGTGTGTGGTGTATTAGAGTCCTTTAATTTCCAAATATGTTTGCTTAGCTCCGAGGCGTTTTTCCTTGATTTATTGCGGAAAGAGCAAGTATGGTTGAGGTGTATAGCGTGTCTTAAATGTGTTCTCAGTAAGGCCAACGTAGGTTTGAGATTCTCTCGTACTTTCATTCTTCACGGTCGCTTGGTATACTATAGCGACCGTCCCATAAAATACTAGGATTTGTCAACTCACTTTAATATGCCATTTTAGCTAATTTTTATACTTTTCAAAAATGCATTCTTAAATTGAAACCGCGATATCTCGGTCAAATTTGCATGAAAAACGACATGGTATATATATGAAAATTTAATTCAAAGATCAGAAAATACGAAAAACATAATTTTAGTGTAATAGCTCTTCTAATTTTGAAGTTATACTCAATCAAACAGGGTTGACGTTTTTTTGCACCTCCCGGTGCATCTACCAAGATTGAAATTAGCGCTAGCGTAAATAGTTATTCACCATTTCAATATTCAACCCAGTGGGGTACATTGTCTTGAATATATTAATCCAATACTTTTCATTGTTTTAAGTATATTAATCAAGTACTTTGTACGTTCTGTCGGATTACTTTTACGATAATTATCTCGCAACATTAACTAAGCCATTATTAGTATCGTTCTCAACATTGGATAGGGAGTAGGAGTGGGATGAACATTTTGAAAGCAAACATTCAGCAATTTATGTTCAGATATAAGGAGTCTTATATGAGTAAACTTTGCAGATATCAATGAATGTGCACATAGTCCATGTGGTTACAATGCAAACTGTACAAACACGAATGGTTCGTACATTTGTGAATGTCGGACTGGATATGAAGGAAATGGAACAAATTGCACAGGTTAGATCATGCAGGGTCCGGTTGTCCGAAAGGCGTTCAGGTTAAATGCTGGATATATAAGCCAAAGTTTAAAAATGTTCTCATAGATCTTGTGAATGAATGAAACTGCATATACGCAGTTAATGTATACTTCCCTTAACCAATAAACTATTTACATTGAAATATTACAGCTCATTTGTCCAATGGCGGACGTATATAAGTATGAATATAGTTTAACGCTAGTTCCTGCCTTGATTGTACTGCATTACAAAAAAATGAAATAATTATACTATCCTCAACCAAGCTGTTTCCAGTAAATTTATGATGCTAATAATCAGTTCTTAACTTGAACAAATATTACTCCAGTTTATAAAAAAGGGAGTAAAAATAAGAGAGAAAATTACCGCCAGATATCGTTAACGTCTATTGTATGTAAGATAGGAGAAAAAATAGTAAGAGCTAGAGTCGTAGATTTCTGGTCAGGCCTAAATATATTTAATTCAAATCAATTTGCATACCTCAAAGGCAAATCTACTCTCACGCAGTTACTTTCGTGTTATGATGATTGGGCTAAATCAAGAAACAAGTCAAGGCCAACGGACGTTATTTTATTAGATTTTTCTAAGGCCTTCGATAGCGTTCCTCATGAACGTTTGCTCCTGAAGCTGGAACGTTATGGTATTAGTGACTCACTACTATTATGGTTTAGGAACTTTTTAACTAACCGCAAACAACGTGTTGTTATACGCGGAACTTGTTCCAAATGGTCGGCTGTGAGATCTGGTGTCCCCCAAGGAACGATTCTGGGCCCAATTATGTTTCTCATATACGTAAACGACATATCAGACGATGTAACTTCTACTGTTAAGTTATATGCAGACGACACTAAAATATATAGGGAAATTAAGAAAGTTGATGTTGATGAACCAGCATTACAATTAGATCTAAATCGAATAGACGATTGGGCAAAGAAATGGGAACTCCGCTTTAATACGGACAAATGTGAAACAATACGAATTATACACACAGGAAAGATACAACTAGACCTAGTTATACATTGGGAAAAGAACTTAAGTGTGTCGATAGTGCGAAGGACCTAGGAGTTCATTTCACAAGAGATTTATCTTGGAGTGAACACGTAGGAGTTACGGTAAACAAAGCTAATAAAGTCTTGGGAGTAAATAAACGTACGGTAGGCACTTAAAATCAATATGTATTCTCGACCCTATATAAAACTCTTGTTAGACCAATTATTGAATATGCAGCTCAAGTTTGGAGCCCGTATCTGGTTAAAGACATTGTTGCATTGGAAAAAGTTCAACGTAGAGCTTCGCGTTTTGCTTTACAGCAAAAACGGGGTGAAATGTCCTATGAAGAACGTTGCTGCTTATTAAAATGGCCAACACTAGAAAAACGTAGGGAATACTTGTCACTTGTGGAATGTTTCAAGTCAATTCATGGCCTAAATGGTCTGGTGCCTGAATTGTTTTTTGAATATACGAAGGACAATCGAACTAGAACAAACCATAAGTTCAAATTGTATCTTAAAGCCGCTAAGATAAATTGCTATAAATATTCATTTTTTATTAGAATATTAAGTAAGTGGAATAATTTGCAAGCAGAAATTGCAGAAGCTAACAGTCTTCAGCAGTTTAAGAATGGACTTAAAAAATTAATGGACATTTAGGTTAGGATTATTTTAAATTTTTTTCTTTTTTGTAGTAGTCGTAAGTAATGTATTGTTTTGGGGAATTATTGTCATAGTATAGGGTTAACCTCACGATTTCCTGTTCAAGATTGTTGTGAATGTTATCTTGTTATCTTGAATAAAATTATGTATGTATGTAATAATTATACCTTGATTATTATTCTAGACATCGACGAATGTGAAAAAGGAACTCACAAATGTGACAAAAATGCAAAATGCACCAACACTCCAGGCTCATTCAACTGCCAGTGTCAACCTGGTCACACAGGAGAAGGACGGATATGCGAAGGTAGCTATAAAATTGTTTTTAGTTGTAAAATAAAAAACAAAACATGGCGCTATACTGATATTTTTGAAATATTCTGAGATTACATAATACTGCCACAAAAAGAAACTACGCTATTTATCGTAGTATTTGCACAGGTTAGTTCAGGGGCCGGATGTCCAAAAGGCGTTTAGATTAAAACTGGATAAGCTAAAGCTTAAAAATACTCTCATAGATCTTGTGAATAAGGCGAAAACATGAATAACATCCGCCCCCCTCCAATTAAGTTATGTAGCTATATATATATATATATATATATATATATATATATATATATATATATATATATATATATATATATATATATATATATATATATATATATATATATATGTAAGGTGTATTTGTTCTTCTACACAAGTATAACCAACCGGGCAAGCAGAAAATTCTACTTGACCGCGGTGGGAATCGAACCCGCGACCTTCGCATTTCTAGAACGATGCTCTACCGTCTGAGCTACAAGGCCAAGTTGGGAACGACTGTGATTTTACTTAAGTTGTTATTGACAATGCGGAGTTTCGTCCTTTTTACATGTCGTTATGCAGTTACTTCTGCAAATTATGTTGATATTTTTGTACTTTTGCTCTCAATCGAGCCATGTGTTCACTTGTGGATATATATGTAAGGTGTATTTGTTCTTCTACACAAGTATAACCAACCGGGCAAGCAGAAAATTCTACTTGACCGCGGTGGGAGCAAAGCGTGAATAAGGCGAAAAAATGAATAACATCCGCCCCCCTCCAATTAAGTTATGTAGCTATATATATATATATATAGGCTATATATATGTGCGTGTCCGTTTTTTAAAAAAAGTCCCTCTTGGAGAACAGAATTATATGAATATAAATATTTTAACGCTAGTTCCTGCCTTGATTGCACTGCATTATATACAAGTACTGAAAGAGCTACATTCCTCGACCGAGCAGTTTCCTGTAAATGTATGATGCTAATGATGTTCTTAACTTCAATATATACCTTGATTATTATTCTAGATGTCGACGAATGTGAAAAAGGAACGCACAAATGTGACAAAAATGCAAAATGCTTCAACACTCCAGGTTCATTCAACTGCCAGTGTCAACCTGGTTACACAGGAGAAGGACGAAAATGCGAAGGTAGCTATAAAATTGTTTTCAGTTGTGAAATAAATAGAGATTATTACTTCATGGTTGGCAAGTACGTATTTTTTATGCACGAGTTGTGAAGGATCGCAAAACGAACGAGTGAGCGTAGCGAACGAGCGAGTTTGCGATCCTTTACAACAATTTCATAATAAAAAGCGTACATATGAGCCCATATTTAATTATGGCATTTTTCACACGTGATAAACATTTTACGTCGAATCAAATTGCATGAAATTAATTTACACAATGAAATACGATTTTATTTCATCATTCTGCTGTGCATAAATCTCTATACACATAATAAAAAAAAACATAGCAAATATACTGATATTTTTCAATGATGCCAAGTTTACATAGTATTGCCATAGTATTGCGATGACAGAAAATCAAAATCGTCCGGATAAAGTGCTTAATGCTTGCAGAGAGCGGTATAACACAGGTTGAGAAACACGGGTTACTTCAACGAATTTTATTTACAACAGAACTGTTTCGTGGTAAATAATATTAAGGCCAACGTAGGTTTGAGATTCTCTCGTACTTTTATTCTTCACGGTCGCTTAGTATACTATAGTTTTCGTTAGGCATTCTCCTTGCAGAGGGCAGAAAAATAAAAAAGAAATCTATTTTTGAAGCTCAGGTCCAATTATCCGGTTTTGCAGAGGCTCCCTCTTTATAGATAAAATAAATTAACATAACACTGGCTATATAGATGAGAAAAATTAAACTCCGAATAAGGTGAGAATCTAGGTCTTAATTGTCGTATTTTGGCAATTTTTTCCATATCTCTTTTCTCACACACCCATCCAAACTCCCAACCGACATAAATTTTCTAACATGTTACCATTTCCATGCTTAACTAATTTCGTTTAACCGAAACAAGGGTTTTCCGCATGCGTTGTACGAATTAATGTTTACACCTTCGTTGTATCTGTCGGAGACAGATATACTAAAGAGAATGTATCTTAAACAATATTTTCAGCTAATAAATGCCCTCTTGGGTGGGAGACTTTCGATGGACTCTGTTTTTATATCAGCAATGGCGTTGCGACATCATGGAACAGTGCGAAAGACGACTGTCGTCAGCGTGGCGGTCATTTGGCAGTTCCAGCCAACACGAATATGAATAATTATCTAAATCAGGCTATGAAACAACATAACGTCAACGCAGCGTGGATTGGTATGTACCGAAAATCCGGAAACATCTTTTACACAGTGAGAGATGAGGAGATCTCCTATGAAAACTGGAACACAGGGGAGCCTAACAACTCCGGGGGGCATGAAAACTGCGTGGAAATGTTCAACGGAGCAACAGGGAAATGGAATGATTTGCCATGTTCGATCAGTCGTCATTACTTCTGTCAGCGGCAACTGTGAATATTCCACAACAGCTGAAATTGACAATAAGAAGAAAATACGGCGACGGACTTTACATTTAAATATCTGATCTGAAAGGAATCGTTTTAATTTTTTTCAAAATAGTTAATCGTTTGCAGTGTTTCACCCTAAAATCGAAAATCAATAAGAACGACATCTCAGAGCATTAAATGATTTAAATCTTAGTTATCTTTAAATCGAACATATAAAATTATATCCTCTGAAACATAAAACCAAACAAATTGGAATATCATGTATTTGATTGTTAATAGGCTGTTTCGTTACATAACAAGGGCTGGGTCAATCAAAAAGGAAAATTTCCTCGCAATTTGAGCAATTACAGGATACCTTTTTTTAGTTTTTTATAAGAATTAATAATTAAAAGCTGTATCAAATGCTAAAATGCTTTGCATTCCAATGTTTGTCGTCCGGTCGACCTTTCGGTACACTTTCATTTTCGCATGTCAGGTAACACTGACCTAAATATAACTGTCGCTTAACTCGAGTAATTCCCCATATATGTCCAATACTCTCGCAACCACGGAAAAGGTTATTTACCATCGGTAAAGTTTTTAACCATCGGTCTGAATGCCAGAAGTTTCTTACTCAGCTGGCGCAGAAATTAGCAGAAAGAGATCATGAACGTTATGCAGTTGTCATAGCTTGGTTGAGAATCAGAATCTCTTTCGAAATTCTAAGATCGGTACATGCGAGTGTAAGGGGATCTAGATCACCTTTTTATAGAAAAGAATTTGAAGTAGGATACGTTTTTTGGACTAAATGTTAAAATTGCAGAGGTTTTTTAAACTTTTTTAGATTTTAACTTTACGTGCAAAGTACTCCTTTTCTATAAAAATTAGGAAGAACAACAATCATTATACTTTCGAAAAAAGAGTTTAAACAGTCCATCTGAAAATGTATGGTGATTAGAATAGGTTAATTTTGCATGGTCTAGTTTACTTAGAATTCTTTTAAATATGTATATAGTTAATTTTATCATAAACTACGTTTTAAGTTTCACCATCAGTAATAAATAATTCGTTTCGTGAACTCCAGCTGAGCTAATACGCGCACTAAACGGCCACACCATCGGTACCGTCAGTACCAACGAAGAGATTTTCCATCGTTTGTTTAAATGATAATTAACTCCTTAGGGCAAGACTTCGCGTTTTTTTTAAATTTGCGATATCTTATTATTGCCACATATTCCGTTGCGTGTTTCTTACTCGTATCGTTAAAATTAATTTATCACCAAAACGCAATATATTACAATATATATAAATCACATTGTATGCATACAATATATTGATTTTTCGTTCTCGAAACTATCTCATAGTGTGTTCTTACGTCATTTATAATATATATATATATATATATATATATATATATATATATATATATATATATATATAATATATATATAATAATATATATAATATATATATATATATATATATATATATATATATATATATATATATATATGCTTCTGGAATACTATTATAAATATTCATCCAGTTCCTGTGTTTGTCGTTGACAAGAACTGTTTTGTTAGACCCTAGGTAGCCCAAAGGTATTTGTGTTTTAATCTAAAGCGTCCTTCCGGTTTAATATCGCGGTCTGTGACGTAAACACCAATTGCTATATTTGTATTATAATAAGATAAGGTTGGCAACTATAAATATAAATTATTAACGACGTACAGCCTCAAAACTATCGACAAAAAACATTGAAAATATGCAACATAACTCACAAAAAAAAATCATAACAATAAAATTTGATGTTTTTAATTGCTCTCCAGTACATTTTCCTGTTGAAAACAACTCTAGAAATATGAAAAATTTAGCGATACTTTTCGTGTTGCTATGAATTTTTTCGCCGTAACGATGCGGGATGTCTTTTGCATGGCACTGGTTTTCGATTCAAATAACGAAGCAGCGACCTCATTGGCTCTTAAAATTGGCGAATACCAATTTAATTATTCGCCAATTTTAAGAGCAAATCAGGTCGCTGCTTCGCCATTTGAATCGAAAACCAGTGCCATGAAAAAGACATCCCGCATCGTTACGGCGAAAAATTATTGATTATTATATTTCAGTAAGACGTGCAAAGTTCAAACAGCTCAAAAATGTAAGCAAAACAACGTACATGTAGAAAAGCTATGTTGATACTAAAATAATTTGCATTTGAATTGCATGTTTGATTTCACCGGAAAGGTTGGCGATAAATGGCGAAAACTGCCCAGTGTGACGTACATCAGTTGTGTGACATAGTGCTGAGTAAATCATCATGTTTAGATGTAAATATTTCCGAAACTATTTAATTATATCAAAAAGGGTTATAGAACTTATAAGCTAATTTTTCAAGCTCTATTCAAATCCGTAAAGATCCCACAAGTGATATAGGCACTTTAAGAAAGCAAGCAAGCAAGCAAGCAATCAAGCCAGCCTTTGACATAGTGGCTAC